TAGTAGTAGTAGTAGTAGTAGTAGTAGTAGTAGTAGTAGTAGTAGTAGTAGTAGTAGTAGTAGTAGTAGTAGTAGTAGTAGTAGTAGTAGTAGTAGTAGTAGTAGTAGTAGTAGTAGTAGTAGTAGTAGTAGTAGTAGTAGTAGTAGTAGTAGTAGTAGTAGTAGTAGTAGTAGTAGTACTAATAATAATAATAATAAAGAAATAGAAGAAGAAGAAGAAGATGAGAACTTTGAGATGGAATATTAATGTAACGATTAAACAATGATAATAACAAATGTCAAGGTTAGAGGTTCCACTAATGGTATATCAAACAAGTATAGTATAAACTCTTATTATTGAATTGGAAACCACACACAAAGGAGGTTCCAATCAGATTATATATTGTTAACATGATTACATTAGTCATCTTATTCAATTAATGCTAATACTTGTAAATCTCGTCAAGCATTCATGATTATAACTTATGTTAACAATAAATCAAGTTCCTTTCATAGCTCAGGTGTCGGTTATACCATACATTATGGGCTATGAAAGTGCCAAGCATTTGTTGTACCAAGTGTTATATAACATAAATCAAGATTAGTCATTTAACAAGCAAAGTATTAAAGAGTGAACAAGATAACAAATATAAAACATGTTAGTATCAAACATTAAAGTTCATATTAAGTTTACATTATACTTATTCTTACACCATTAGTGTAACCTTTTCACCTTGACATAATTAACTTAGCTAGACATAATGAAAGAAAGCAAAATAGATAAACAAAATAAGAACATAAAAGTTAACTAAGTAAAGGAAAGGAAATGAAAGGCATAAACTTAATATTAATGAAAACAAAGCATAAAAAATACAAAGAGAGAAAGGAAGAGCATGATCTTGATCTGGAAACCAAGATGCCTAAATTCATGGCAAATGCCTCCTTTTATAGGCCAAAATTGGGAACTATTGATTTGATGACTAATTGATAAGTGGGTGGCCAACTTTTGACTTGGTGACAATCTTTATCTTCTCTTGTCTGCCCAAAACGTCATTGATAACGTCAAAATTGGAGCCAGTTGCAAACATGAAAGTTGTAGGCAATTGTCTCAGCTTTCTTGTGTAAAAACTTCAGCTCATTTGGACTTCTAGAACTCCAGATATGGCCAAAATACCGAACAGTGCTCGGGCTGGAAGACAGATTCGGGCTTCTTTGTTGTTGCTATAATTTGGACTTGATAATGGCCTTTTTAGATCTTGGGCTCCATATGAAAGTTGTAGGCCTATGTCTTACCTTTCCATCCATATAAATTGGACCTAAATCTGAGATATATAGCTCCAGATATGACCCAATTACCGAACAGTGTTCCGGTTTGGATTGCACCGACATCTCTTTTCTAAGTTTGGCCATCTCTTTATCCTTTCAATTTCAGTTCTTAAGTTCATCAATCAATTCTTTCATTTATGTGATAGGCCTGCATTTAAAATGAATATTTACCATAAATTAAAGGTATCTTATATTATTAGATACGTTATTATAAAACATGCTTTAGTTAAGGAGTTATTGATACTTCAAGTGCAAAATGATGATATAAAATCTTGATAAAAATACACTTTTAAGTACTAATCAATGCATCTTATTCAATATGCTAGGATTTTCCAAGAGTTCATTCATTTGAAAATGAGGATATACCAAATAATTTAGTAATTCTTCATGCACTTAACACACTTTTCTTTTAGTGTCGATCAATAAAATTTTGATGAGCAAGCTACATATCAAAAGCTTTGATATATTAAGTTTTCTCTTTAACAAAATCATGGCATTTTATATTGGAAGCTTATAATGGTTAGAATTATTGTGATGTCATTATTGCTTAACCTTTACAAGAGTTTATCAACTTGATTGTCAATAAGATGTTGAGTGTATTTTTTTATCTTGATTGTCTTATCACCTATCTCATAAAATCTCTTACACAATATGCTTGTCTAGTATTATAAGGAGAAACCCTCGGGGAATAGTTCTAGCCATTAGATATGGATATGTTAGCTATCCTATCAGTTTTGAAAAGGTTCGTTATAACTTTGGGAATCAAATCATAGAAGCTTGATCCAAGGTCTATGAAGCTTAAAAAGTATAGACCTAAAAAATCTAGATTGGCTACTAATCACACTTCATAAACTCTCAATGAAAGTTTGGGGTATTATGAGTAATTGTATGGGGCAAAACCACATCGAGTTACCACTATTTCCATATATGCTAACTTAGATGAAGTTTGTGTAAAACAAAAGGTCATGTAATAATAGCATGAGTATAAACCATATCTAATTCAAAAAAAAAATAATGAATAAAATTAATAATGATGAAAGATGTATGAAATGCAACATACAAGAATTATATAAAAAAAGATATATACAAGAACATAAATCACATAATAACAAATAATAAACACACATTAATTAGTTTAAGCAATCGAGCATAAAATATATACAAAGCATGTCAAGCATATTGTCACAAAATCAAATAATCAAATCTTAGATTACGAGGGACGTCTTGATAATTTGATTGTGCAAAAAGGATAAAAATTAAAATAAAAAATCAGATGACATTTAGTTTTATGATTGTTAGGAATCCGAACTAATCTTTCAAAGTTTTTTAGGTCAAGGACTAGTTTTGCTAAAGAGAAGATGACAATCATCTTAAAACATCCTATTTAAGATAAACTATATTATTATTTGATTTTAATAATAAAAATATATATTATACATGCATACTAATATTTTGTCAAAAATAAATTTTTATGTTTATTAGAGATAAAAATTCTATAGCAGTGATTTGAGATGCAGGCTTGAAAACAAAGTATAATCCTCACTTTTTTATTATGAGAGCATCCTCACTTTTGTTATGTTTTGATTTATTTCTTTCCGTTGCATAATTTATATTAATCCAGAACAAGTTAATTATCACTCCAAACATATTCACCATAAATAATCATAAATATTCCAACTAATTCAATTAATACAAGTATAAACACAAAAATGAAATCATGTGCTAGTGAATTTATTCAAAACAATATACAAATTAATACACATTCACAATTCAAAAATTAACGAAAAAAATCACAAAATTATTCAATCAACAAATAAATCACATGTGGGGGTTAAAATTGACCTGAAAAGTTGTAGGAGTTGGTTGGAACTGGACTGGAGAGCTAGAATGAAGAAAAAAGAAGTGTTGGAAAAAACAGTGTTGACATGTGTACTACACACAAGGGACAACTAGTCTGGCTTTTAAGGTGTTTTTTCATACGCCACTAGGACATGCAAGAGCATGGATGACTCCGTGACATAGATGACCTCTTCTTCTTGCTGTTGGTGTCGGCAGGGTCAGTCATCTCCTCAAAGATGGAAGATGGAAGGCTGGAAAGTTGATGTTGTGCCGCTAGATTTTTTGGGCAATTTGACAACTTATATCTAGATAATGAGAGATTATGCAAAAGAGAAAAAGGAAAAAAAAAAATTGAAGAATCAAACAAAATTGTAAAATTATTGAAAGAGATTTTGAGAAAATAAATTTTAATTAATTAGAAAAAAACAATATAATCAAACAACTTTATCATCATAATTAAATTAAATACCAAAAATAAAATTTTATTGAAAATATATTTTTTTTAAAGACAGAGAAGGGGAGGGCACATGATCCCTATTCTTAACAATACCTGAACGCTCAACACCGTATCCTAAGAATACAATTCTCATATGAAATCGGAGTAATATACAAGATCCAAGATTGTAATATATTTCAGGAGTGGATATTGTTGCTCTTATTAAATACACAATATAGTCTCAGTATATGGAAAAACAAAAAAGTGTTCTATAATCCAGTCACAATACAACAGAGCAAAGTTTTAGTTTTCTTCTTCCTCGGCTGGTGCTGAGTTAGACTGCCGGAGTTTCCTTTCCTCTGAAAGTAGTTTTGCAAACCTGCATGCATTGCAAGTGTTATAATTTAGTGTTAGTCCCTCAATATATAATCAGAAATATTGATGCGGAAGGGGAATGCTAATTAATTGTAATTATATATTACCTTTGGAGTGCTTCTTCGTTGGTACCACCATCCTCAACCGGTTCATATCCACCAGTGTCCAAATTTATGCGCGAAACTGGACTCTTCAGCAGGTCCTCTCCGACTTTTACTAGGTTTTCCAAGTTTTCTTTTGTTGCTATATCAACAGAATATAGATCACCTTGCAGCTTGTCCTCCTGATTTTGAGAATAGCTAAATCAGTTTGATCAATATAAGTTAACAAAAAAAAAAGAGGCATTGAGCTTGTGGAGTATATTCTTCCTATGCATTGACCTAACAATCATCTCATCCGCGTATTTGTTCATAAAATACTGTGGTTTGGTCATACAAGAAAAGATGTTATATATGTACCAGCTGTCAAAGAACCCTTTTCTTAACACTATTTTATGTTTTCGAGAAATAATGTGGATGTACAGACTCTTACATCAATCCGGAGGTAGTAATTTTCAGAATGAAAGGCTTGAAAAACCACAGAGTTGTGGTAATCAACCATATCAGAACTAGCATTATTGTAGCAAGTTATCAAGGGAGTACGTCCATTGTGGAATAACCAGCCGATAACCCCCCACTCTGAAGCTACTTTAGCACTGTATGTTGTTCCATTCCTATTGGCACCAGTCCCAATAGAGATCACCAGATAACGTTCATAATTCGTTGGCTTGATAGGGAAAAAGTCTGGATTCTTCTTTGACATCTGCTTGGATACTTCACTAATAGCCACCAAGGTCTGCATGAATCAAATTGACAGACGAATTAATGAAATATCTATTGTTACCAAATTAAAAGAACGCTCCTTCCATTTTTTGTTCTTTTTTTTTAGTGGATCTCACTGGGTTATTAGCAGCTATGCCACCATCGATGAGGTTAAATTCTTCAAAATTTCCTTGTGCATCTTGGTTCTTGAAATAATGAGGAGGAAAATAAGTTGGAGCTGCTGAGGTAGCTATGCATATGTCTGAGAGTAGTGCATCTGTGATTGGACTGTTTGGAACCTACATGAAGAAATTGAATGTAATTTACTAAGGTTAGTAATGAAGTAGAAAAAGAAAACCAAACTGAAAAACTGACATGTTGATAACATGTAGAGATGACCTGATACGAAGAAAAGATTACAGGCTGGATTTTCTTGATGTCAAAAGTAGGGATAACCACATTTGTCAAGGTTTGTTGCAACCTTGTGTCCTTTAATATATCTCTTACCAGCTTGTGTAGATACTTGCCATCATACTTAGGTCCAGATATAGCTTTCCAAACATTTTTTGGCCAGGCAAACATCCCACTGCATTTTAGCCGAAAGCAAAAACAAAAACTAATATTAAGTTTTCATATGGCACAAGATTGATATAAAGGGTCCAGTATATATATCATGTCAAATATATATCTAGTCAAATATATATCTAAGGATTATATATCCTTTTTCTTTATACCTAGTTTGTGGGAAAATTTTAGGGGAATTGTTAAGGTAAAAAGGAACTATATCTTTGGCTTCAAAAAGAGGACGTTGCTGTTCGTTTGGAGCAGCTAACATTGCAGTTATGAGACCACCAGTACTTGTTCCTGAGATCACATCAAAATAATCTGCAATCCTTGCATCCTCGCCATCAAGCGCCTGCTTGCACCAGCCAGAAAAGACATATAACATTAAAGCCATAGGTTTTCCGTATAGATATATTCATGGTCCGCTTGTATCAAAGTAAGTATATCATAGCTTGTGAAATATTAATTTCTTGAGGAATAACTAAATTAGAGAAGTTCCGAAATTATATATACCTGTAGTTGAGCTTCAAGGTAAGCAAGAATGACTCCAGGCAAGATTCCTCTAATCCCTCCTCCATCAATACTAAGGATGGTAATCTTACTACCGTATACTGGGGGTTGAATTTTTAAAGAACCTTTTCTTGTCAACATGTTTGAGTTGCACGTTGATGAAGCTTGGAAATGGACAGAATTAGAAATAGAATGAGCAATAAGTAACGTACTGTGAGTACGAGGAACAGTTTGATTTTAAGGATAGAAGAAGAACTTAATGGAGTTGATCCATAGAAGTGGCTGGTAGTTCATCTCTATATACATGTAAAAGTACTCCGATATATATATAGTGCACTAAACGATGTTTGGTGAAATGAATCCTTTCCTAATAATAATTTGAAGGTGCCATACACGTTATCAAAAATAAAATAAAATAAAATCATAAAAACTTTGGCTAGGTAGCTCTTATTAATTGATCATTCTAATCCATTAAGTATAAGATTAGAAAACGAAAAAATCAAGGCATCAAAGCGCTGACCTGACGAATTTAATTAATTAGGATGGTTTGGCATGATAATCTTCGAACATTATTCAAGTAATTGTTGAAAGAAATTAAGGTTGTTGATTATAATTAATATCAAATTTTTAAGTTACTTTTCTAATGAAGCAACCAAGCGGTAGAGTTTGAGTTTGTTCTTCCGTGTTTCATGCTTCCAAAATAGTGGAAGGGAACAAAAGGAAAGAAACAGCTCTCAAATGGAATTTGGTTTACCTGCAAAGATAGTTCTTTCATCATATGTGTATATATAAAAAGCGCAGTGAATTTAATTAAATATATGTGAAGACTAGAAATGGCTTGAATTCAGTTGTATTTACCTTGTATCTATCCTTAAAATAATTTTAAATGGTTGTTGAAAAATTAAAATTATTTCCTCTTTATTTTTTGTTTTGATTGGTCTCCAAATTTAATAATACTATTATTCATTG